TTTCCTGGGTTTGTATTCATCCCAAGTGATGTTGTTATTTTTAAAGTCTGCTAAAAGCTGGTTCCACCTGCTGGCTTCTTTGGGTGACCCAAATCTGTGTATGCATTTGCCATATGCTTTGGAGTCAGTGAACATGGGCTGTGTTGGTCTCCTGGCTGGCTTGATGCAAGACAGGGGGACAAACAGAACCTTCTGCAGGTAGGACTGGGAGCCCCAAATCCCACACAGTGCTGCGAGCTGTGTGTGCAGGAGCTGAGGGAAGCAATAAGACCTAATAACCTCCGTTCTCCTAATTGCTTCCTTCTCCTCACAAAAGAACCACGCCAGCAGCTCTGGAGGCCCTCAGGGAAATCTCTGCTTGTTATAAGGCCGGTGGGCAATCCTTTCATCTCTGTGAAATACTGGCAGTTTGTGTCAACAAATCCAATTTCAGTCAATCAATAGGCAACTGGGCCTCTCAGCCCCATCCTCCCAGCTGGGCAGAGCTGCAGAGCCCACTGCCTCCCTCTGCTAGTGCCCAGGAGCCCTGGAGCCCTGGAGGAAGAGCCACTAGCTGGGAGTGCCTCCCCACCAAAGGGGGACATCAGAATGGACATGGTAGAGAGCCACTGACAAGGTCGGTCAGACTAACAGAGGGTTACAGCCCACAAGAAAGCCATCTTGGTGTGTAAGCTGGAAGGAAGGGACAGCTTTGTGCTGTGAGACCTGGGTACAAGATCTCTCTGTGCAAGGTACAGGGTCTGGCACTGTACTTTGTGGCTTTGAATTCCAGCTTCCCACTTACAAAGAAGGATGCTTCTACTGCCTGTGGATTGTGAGGGATGATAAGTGTGGTAGTAGATGTTGGGCACTCTTGTCCTCAGGACACACACACACACACTTGCATGTGCATGCGCACGTGAACACACACACAGAGGTGGAGGGACTTGATGAACTGCTATGGTCGTCATCATTGCCATCATCATGCTCTGTTTGCACAGAAAACATCTCAGGACTGTGCCTCTATGGTGGGGAACAGCATGATGGCTCCACTGAGGCAGGCTGAGAACCTTCAGCCTCTAGCTCATGAAGATCAAAGGGCTTGTGGGGTGTCATCGGTGTGTAACAGAACTTTACAGGCTGCAGCAGCCTCATCAGAGGGTCACAGCCAGTGGATGAAGGTCCTTTCCGAGGAACAGCACTAAGGACTACACAGCCAAATGAGCAGGGTAAAGGCACTTGGCAGACTCCCTGCAATTTCTGCATCCCCTTGGGAAGTAAAGAAAAAGACCACCCCAGAAAGCAGCTCACTGGCTTCTAAGGGAGATCATAGCTTCATGGGAAGACAGCTATTTCCCCCTTGGATGTAAGAGATTCCTACCAGGCAACAAAGAGTTACAGCCAAATCTAGTTCTCGCCTGTGGTTGGCATTCCTGATAGATGGAGGTAAGACACAGCATAAGCCAGAGTTCCCAAGATGAAGGCAGCAATATAGCCTTTGAGAACCTGACAGGGAGGGACAGAAACAAGGCCATCAAGATGGACACGCTTGATCCAGGGACTCCTGGTGTGGGACGTGCATGGCATTCACAACCACTGGGGCTGCCAATGCTCCTCCAGCGGGCAGGGGTTGAAAGTGCCTCAGAGCAGGTTTTGTGGCTGCAGCTCTGCTTTATTTAATTGGGAAGGGACAGAGAGCAATTCAAGGCCGTTTTCGGGAATGGAAACCCCTGGTGTTACTGGCTGGGAGTCCCCTCCTTATTTGTTATTTCTCTTGATTCATCGCAGAAGCCCTGCAAGGAGGGTGTATGCATCTCCTCTGCCCACTGATGCCAAGGCTCAGGGACAACCAGAGGCTCAAGGAGCTGGCAGCAAGCACTGGCCAGTGGCAGGAGACTGGCAAAGACTTGTGTGGGGTCACACATCAAGAGGGGCGCTGGAGGGGCTGGAGAGATGGCTCCTTTCTTAAGAACAAGGACTACTCTTGCAGAGGACCTGAGTTCAGTTCCCAACACCCACATCAGATGGCTATCAACCACTTGAACTCCAGTTACAGGGGAATCCGACATGTCTGACTTCTGTGGGCACTTGCACATACTCACACACAGAGATACACCATTCATAGTCTAGATGATGATCAGCAGATGAATGGATAAAACAGTGATACACATACACAAGGGTTTCATTCAACCACAAAGATGAATGAAAATATATCATCTGCAGGAAAGTTGATGAAACTGGATTTCAAGAAGAGCCCAGCTCAGACAGTTTCTCTCATAAGCAGAATCTAGAATATATATACCATGCACACATACATGTATATATACACAACTGTCTGCCATCTTATAGAATATTAACCACTTAGGGAATGATTCCCCAACCTGGGGAACCAATGAGTTTATTGGGCTTACTTACAAAGCATGGGTAGGGAGTTCCTTACAGGAGTGTGAGGGTCCCCAAGGCAGCCACACTTGTAGAAAATCTCAGCCCGACATGGATGATGACATCTTCATAGCTGCACAGATAGAATCTTAGATGAACCCCTTTCACTAACCTTTCACAGAGTGTGTGTTCTACACTCCCCATCCCACCCACCCAAGACCTCATGAAATTATGGCAGAATTACATACAAATGGCCTGGAGGTGCAGGAGGGAGAGACTGGAAACTCCGGTGAGGGGTCAATGACCTTCCCTCATCCTTCCTACAACAGAGAATGCCAAAAGTCTACAGCCTGGACCTTGAGGGGTCTTTTGTAACTTCAAAGCTGTTATGATGATGGCTGTTATGTTCAGAATTACAGAATTGCAAACATGACATACATGGATGAAAATGCCACAATAAAATGCATTATTTTGCATGTTCTCCCCTACAAAACACACACACACACACACACACACACACACACACACTGTCCCACACAACATGGATAGGTCTCAAGCCCAAGCCTTTTGCATAGCATGGAAACCTATACATTTCCCAAAGATGGACAAACACCAGCTCCTGTTAAGCCATCTAGACACAAACACCACTGCAATGAGTGAATTTGTGTTGGCATTGTTTTCTAGGACCATCATACAAAGTGCCACAGGCTAGTGTGCTTGGACACAGAAATAGTTTCCTCCCAGTTACAGAGGACTAGAGGTCAGTCAATGCAGGGCAGGCTGGTTTCTCAGAGGCCTCTCTCCTGGACTTGCTGCCTCTGGCCAGGCACTCGCCCCTCCCCTCCCTAGGCTGCTGTGTGTCTCTAGGTCGTCGTCAAGCACAGTGGTCGGATCAAATCTGGGTGCATCCTAACAGCTTTATTGAACTTGCTCCCCATTTTGAAGGCCCTAATTTGAAATAGTCACATTCTGGGATACTGAGGGCTAGAGGTGAACAAGATTCAGCTCACAACAGCTGTGACACTCCCCCCCCCCATCCAATGTAGATGCTTCTGCAGTGCCTCCCCCTCCACAGTATGGGTGGCCTAGTGTAATCAGTGGAACCCCAAAGATTGTGAAGGCCTGTCTGCAAACTCCTGAACAGCCTTGTCAACTCTTCCCTAAGTATACACATTTCAGACCTGCCAGTCCCATAATTATATAAGCTAGTTCCCTGTGGCAAACAAACACACACACAGAGACAGACAGACAGACAGACAGACAGACAGACAGAGACACAGAGACAGACAGAGACAGACAGAGACAGACAGAGACAGAGAGAGAGAGAGAGAGAGAGAGAGAGAGAGAGAGAGAGAGAGAGAGAGAGAGAGAGAGAGAGAGAGAGCCCTTTCCCCTGACTTTATTTTTGTTGTGGTTTGGATGCGGGTGGCAAGGCTTCATTTTGCTGTCTTGAACTCACAGCAAACCTCCTGACTCAGCCTCCAAAACACTGGGATTACAGCAGACATCAGCCAGAATCCCCGATATACACCGGGTTGACCACAGCTTTGTTATATCTAGTTACGAGGGAACTGGGAATGCAGTCTTCATTCCAGAAACAATATACTCAGTTCAACTCAGAGATGGTGGCTGATGCATCGCTAGAAAGCGGGCAGGACACTCAAGGCACCACAGCTCAGCTCTTGAAGCAGGTCTCCCAGCAATGGGCACAGGGAAGTGCTTAGGAAGTCCCAGGCTCTGCAGTCCAGTTAGTTCCCTAGGGCAGAGGCCCAGCGCCACACGTCCCGGCAGCCACCACTGGTGAGCGCGGACTCCGCTGCCATCCTGCGGCTGCTCAAAGCTCGCTGGGCCGCTCGCAAAGTCCGGGGCTCCCAGAGCTCCAGGCTGCAGACCAAGGGCACGCGCTGGGCATCTCGGGGGCGCACACAGCGCTACCCACACGGACTGAGCACCGCGGGGCGGGGAGGGGAATCACATCTCCTCAGGGCAGGTCAGCCAATGGGCAGCCTCGCTGATGTTGTAATGCTCCAGCTCAGCCTTTCATTGGTGAGCTCCGCTCTGGCCTTGAACTAGTTAGTGGTTTTTTTGTTGTTGTTGTTGTTGTTGTTTTTCTGTTTTTTTTTCCTTTTTTCTTTTTTTGTTTTGGTTTGTTTTTCCTCCAGAAATTCAAATAAATGAAACAAAATCCAAGACAAAAGCGGGGGGGTCCCTGAGCCCAGATCTCGGGGAGACAAGGAGAGGACACCTCTGCAGCGCCTTCTTGGCCCTGCAAGGCCCAGGTACCTGCCAGACAAGTCAGAAGACACCTTGGTTGTTGCTCACAGTTATGACTGTGGGGTCGTTCAGAGCCAAGGGTACTGGAACAAACTGGCAAGAGGGACACAGATTTCAGGGAACTGTGTGTGCCAAACTTGGCTGATCCTTGAACCGTTTATTCCCGGAGTGTATCACAGACCCAGAGTCCCAGGGATCACACTGAAAATGCTCTTGGAAGGACAAGTCCTCTGCTGGCTGGCCAAGCCCCACAGGCCTTCATACTTGGCTTTCCAGGTAACGCTATGTCAGGATGGAGCCTTGTGACATAACCAGGCTGCCGCTTGTTACCCCAAACCGTAACTGGGGTGGGAGGTGGTGGTTGAACAGTTCAGCGGTGCCTCAATCTCCCCCATTTTGCACCATATTTCTGTCTCAGGGGTCAGATCCCAGCCAGCCTAGCTTTCAGGACAATGAGTCTTCTCAGCACCGGAGATGACAGGTCCCGGACACAATTCTGCCTAAAGGGACCCCTGGGAGAACCAGGAGACAGAAAAATAAGCCAGTGTGCTCTCGGTACAAGAGTCAACTGATACCAGGTATGGTGACAACTCTTAAAAAGGGAAATGACAGCCTGTTTGGGAGGATCAAAGTATAGGGGAAGAAATGACAGGAAGGAAGGGCAGGAAGGTTCAAAGACTAGGTCAGTGTGGGCCTGTTAAAGGAACTTATTCCCAGTGAGAGGCCTGGGAAGGATTCTCAGCCCAGGGCATGGCTCTGGGCTCTGAAAGTCACGCTTATTCCTTTGGGAAGAAAGTGAGTGCCCTCAGCCTTGGCCAGCACACACCCTAGCTGCAGCCGGTTCTTGGCCCTCAGATGCTGCTCCCATACTCTGCCTGCTACCACTGAGGGAGCTTTGTTTAGGCAAGTGCCTCGTGATCAGAGGCCAGCAAGACCTTCAGGCCCAAGTAGAAAGAAGCAGCTTGCATGGTGGTGGGGCAGGGGAGCTCTTGAAGATGGGGTCTGGGGCTGAAACGATAAGAAGAGTCTGGAGGACAAGATGGAAGGGGAGGGGGCACACCTTGACGCAGTTCCAGTACCTATGGGTATTGGAAGCCCTCCATTCCGGTCCCAGATCCCCCATCTTTGCCAGGGTGACCTTGGGCCAGTCATCCCAGCTGTGGCCTAGTTTCCTTACTTATGAAACAGTCGGGGAGGAGCTTTGGTTGTTGAAGTCCCCTCCTTTTCAGACTCAGTAAGCATCCTCTGTTTTGGGGAGGCCCCTCTTACCTACTGCAGCTGGTACCCGCAGCTGAGAGGCTGGGCAGATGGCTGCAGATGGCACAGTCGTGTTCATGGGTGGGGTGGGGGTGCTGACACTCAGGGATGACTCAAAAACGGTGCAGCACGAAGCCCTCTCTGCCTTCATCTATCCACATCCTGCTTGTCGAGACCCCAGGACCCAGTGACTAATGTGAATGTCTCCTGGAATGGCACAGGATGGTCCTGCGGCCGCCTCTGCAGGCTCCACCTCTCCTAGCTGGCAGCAGGCAGCAGAATTTAGTAGGAAAAACTCCTGCTTTCAGGAAGGTGAAATCAGATTCCAGAATGAGGAGGCCAGGAGGCCAGAGAGAGAAGTAATTTTCCCAGAAGCAGGAGAAGGGGGTTGGTCCACAGAAGCCCTGCTGTTCCTTCACCCCACAGACTCCAAGTTGAAGCAGAGTCTTTCACCCTCATTTGATAGCATACCCCATCTTGCAGCTGTTTTCTGTGCTTAACTAAGAATCCTTTCTTTAAAAAGAAATCGGATGCAAAATCAAAAACAAGACATTGTTCAGTAATTATTTCTTGAACAAATGAGGCATGTCGAATGTAGTGCAGGTTGGTGGCCCAGACAGACAGACCCAGCCTCTGCTTAATAGACTTTGATTCAGTGGGGGGGGGGGGCTTTTGTAACCTAGTAAATATTTAATGAACCATTATGACCAAGGTAATGAAGAAGAAGATGCCTTTGAAGATGGCTTTTGGTTTGCACGGTCAGGAAGGAGTTTTCTGGTCAGGTAGGGATATTCCTGCTTCTAGATGGACCCCTTTAATGCGAAAACTGGGTACATGGCAGATTGAATCCCTGGAAAGCCTAGGAGAAATGAGCAACCAGTACAGGTAGATGAGTCAGTGATAGTGTTTGTTTACCGTGTATTAGGCCCTGGATTCAATCACCAGTACCCATCCTTCCTCCCCAAAGTAAATAGGAAAGCAAGCTGCTTTCATGACTGCCATCCCTCCCCAAGAAACTGAAGCAATGGCTTTTCTCCCTTCCCATAGACTTGCTAAAGCACAACTGTGATTTCATATCAAAGACAAAATACAGAGATTTACATACGACATTAAAGGCTGATACCCAAACAGGTACCAACAGACTCAACAAAAGAATGCATTTTTGACTAAGGAAGCAGCTAATATTCCAATCAAAGCAGAAAAGCTTAAATCCACCTGTTTGATATCTTAAAGAAATATGGGAGGGCATCCAAGCATCACACTGTCATGAATCAAAAAAATCCCAATTAAATTATGAAAAAAACAGATATTAGAAGTGGAAAACTTAATTATTCAAAAGTCATTCCGGCCACAGTGTAGAGAATGAGCCGGAAACAGGCAAGGAGCCACGGTGGCCCAAGAAAGAGATATCTGTGACTCTGGGTAGGATGGAGGCAGAGGAGGAAGAGACCAAGCATAATCAGATGCGGTCTGCAGGGCTTGCTAACTGTCCATGAGACTGTGTGTGAGGTGAGGGGTGGGGAGTGTTCAGGGAAGTCATCTGTTCTGGGGTCAGAGCTTTCCAGCTCCCTGCTTAGATCCCTCTGTGTGCATCAGAATGAGGTGGCCCTGACCATCACCACATCCTCAGTCTGCACCTTGGAGGCTTTGCCCTCTCCCTGTCATTGGAGAAGTGTTTCCCCCAGAGAGCTCAAAAGCAAGAGGAGAGCTGAGTCCACACTGACTGTGGCTGTGTTCTCGTCGCTACCTTCAGGAGTCCTGGCTATAGAGAAAGGGAAGTATGACGATTGCAGATGGGGTGCCTTAGAAGTAGACTCCTAAATGGAGTGCTCCCTGTATTGTGTTAAGGAACCACCCCTACGTGAGTGAAGAGAAAAATGCAGATAAAGATGGAACCAAAGCCATCCTCTGTTCAACCCCACTGTGGTGGACCGTGACAGCCCTGATGTTTCTCAGGATTGTTGCAAGTTGGATTGAGATGCTAGATCTTTCTGCACATATAGCAATAACTAAACTGTGACCTCAAAGACCCTTTCTCTATAGCATTCCATGCCATCCCTGTACTTCCCATTAAAGTGCTTATCTGCATGGTACTATGACTAAGGCCACAGTTGCCCTGCAAGAGGCTTAAGGCTCAGCCTAGTACATGCCTCACTGTGTCTTAAATGCCTGCCTTGGGGTAATTATAGAATCTATTTCCATTCTTTGGAAGAATTAGAAGATCCAAAGCCAGGCCTAAGTAAAACCAAAGAGATCTATAGTGGGATAAAAGAGAAAGGAACAGTTAGATATTCAGCATACAGCAGGCAGCAACTCACATGGGGTAAGCTGTGTCATCTCAGCAAGAATCTCTGGAAACTCATCCTCTACAGTCCAAATTCCACAAGTTCACAATGTGCATCTCCCATCAAGAGAAACACATCTGGCTCAGTTACATCTCTGAGGAGATGTAAATCCAGTTTTCCCATAACCTGTCTGGTCGTAGCTGAACCCAGTCTCTCAGAATACTTTGATGAACAGGGTGTGGGCTGATGAGCTGTTAGAGGACATCTTCGTGTCCCCATGACACTCAGGGGCCCCATATCACAGCGAAGTCTCCATTTGTGATCTTTTGATGCTTTTCATGGAACAACTAGGGTGGTAGGGAAGTAAGAATGGGACCGAAGATGTCACTCATCTCTGCAGCGCAACAGGGACTGGAAACTTCAAAAACTCTGGCTCTGCTTTGAGGTTGGTTCCCGGAATCTGGCTCTGAGGTAGAAACTCATGAGAAGTGGATTTCTGGACAGAAATGGTTTATTAAGCAGTGCCCCCACCAACGGACAGTACAGAATAGAAACGGGAAGATAAACACGGTGGTTGAACCATCCAAGGGTTCATATTTTCAGAGTGACTGGCTTGTCCCATGAGGAGGACTGGAGACCTTGCACCCCTCTACCTATCACTTAAGAGTTTCTGTGGTTTGGCTATGGCTTGAGTATGTCTCCCAAGGCTCGTGTATTGAAGGCTTACTTCTCAGTGTGATAAAGTTGTGAGGTGAAAGCTTTGAGAGGTTGTGTCTATTATAAGTTCCTTTGGTGTCACCGTGATCAACATACCTGACGGAAGTGATTTAAGGGAGAAGGGGCTATTTTGAACACGATCTTCAGGGAATTTCAGCCCATAGTTATAATGAAGGCATAGTGCAGTTTGTGTTAGTAGTCCTGTGTGGTGGGGCCTCATCACATGGTAGAAGACCGGGAAGCAGAACATTCCAGTTAGGACTGAGATGGGCATACCATTCATAGGTCTTCTCTAAGTGACCTACTTCTCTACCAGCCAGGTCCAACCTCCTAAAGTGTTCACAGCTTCCAAAAATAGCATGGCAAGTTAGGGACCAGTGTGCAAAACATGAGTGTGAGGAGTACATTTCAGATTCAAGCTGTAGCAGGGTTACACTGTGCTCTCAGAATGGACAGGATCCCCAAGCCCCTGCAAAATATCCCCAACCTCCCCCTTCTCTCTCTCTGTGTGTCTCTCTGTGTGTCTCTCTGTGTCTCTCGCTGTCTCTCTCTGTGTCTCTGTCTCTGTCTCTCTCTCTCATACACACACACACACACACACACACACACACACACACACCCTTGATTGGGACACATTTTATGAGGTCCTGTCTTTCAACCATGAGGTTCAAAGCTAAGGTAGTGTTACAATCCTTCCAAAACTTCAGAGATAGTGCAGTTTTTGTTTGTTTTAAAGATTTACTATTTTTAAAGTGTGTGTGTGTGTGTGTGTGTGTGTGCACATGGTATGTGCACAGTAGTGTGGCTACTCACAGACTCCAGAAAAGGTTGGAGGATACCCCTGAGCTAGGATCCAAACTCTGGACTTCTGCAACAGCAATACATGCTCTTAATCTCTCCAGCCCCAAAACCATATATTGAGGGCAATGATGCCACAAGATAGAAGGTAGGATCTTTGAGTCGTTGGGTCACCAGGAGAGCCACCCAATCAGAATCAACCACACTGGGACTCAGTATTAGTGATAAGCAAACATTTATTATTAAGCTACTGAGATTTCAAAGTTGTCAGAGATTACCTTGTCCTAATATAAATAACAACAATGACCATAGTCACAATGACCCATTAACAGTGTCCTACTTTGTATTTGAGGAAACTGAGGCTTAAAATAGTTGGAAGATAGAGGCGGAGCTGAGGTTTTGTGTCTGCTGCTTTTTAATCCCTAATGCATGCTCACTGGTCATGCAAACTTAACATGAATGTATTTGATGCTTTGGTAGAGCAGAGAGGAATATGAGTACATCCTGGGTGTGATGACAAA